ATATTTAATCCATTTTCATCTCGGAATATTGCTCGTATAAAACATGAAACAAAATTATTAACATATTTTATTTATAAAAAACAATTGAGAATTCAGTCATAAATTAACCAGTACAAAAGCACACAAACTCGATACTTTGATACTATTTGATTAAATAATATGTAAGCAATAGAAAAACATTAAGTATAAAATAACAGCGTGTTGACATAATACAAATTATTAACAAAACAAAAAATCTAACACAAACACTATTATATGCTATTGTATGCATATTTTCAATGAAAATGTCCTATTGTACTCTTCCAATAACGCGTTACATACAAACAGCACATTCCAATCTTTAAATTATAGTTTCAGTATTTAAAATAATAATAATAAATAATAGTTGTGTTACATTGGTCAATCGGCTTTAGAACAAAAAGCATTAACAATGTGGTTTTAGTTTAAATTGACCGTCTGGGAAATGTTACCTAGAATAAAATACGTCGCATAAACCTTGAACGCCTATAAATTTTGTTGCAGAATTATCCTCTATTGGAGAAATAATTCGTTACAAAAATTATTCGACAAAGAAACAAGTTATATTTAATAACTATCTTCCGTAGTTTTTCAATCTTTATTCCTCTATCAAAAATGTAGTTTTCTTGATGAGTGATTTGTTTAAAATATCTCCTTATAAAGTATCAATCTCTATTCTAAAGATTTTACTGATGTAATTTACAATAAACAAATAAGTTACTTCTTATTCCTCTAAAATTAAACAGAATAATAAACACCGGTGTTAATTACTCTTTTAATTATTTTAGGATTAAAATATCGTGAATTTAAAATAAACATTACTCGAAGATAAAATACAATAAAGATGTATATTATACTTTATCTGTTGTACTGTACATCATAGAACAACTTACTACTTAAAATACTGCGGAAGAATTTTGTTGTTGAAAGACAAAAATGCATTAAGTCTGTAGCCACTGTGTTTAAAATTTGTAGATCATAATAAAATGACAAGAATCCAAAACTATAGAGTGAGGAAAATAAAAAAGACACCTTTATTTCGTTTTGTCTTCGTACATTCATTGTTTACACGAATAAATATCGGAGCTTTTAGTTTTAAATTATATCCATTTTATTTTAAATTTATTATTATTATTATTTATTAAATCCATCTCATTCGTTAGTTAATTTTCGAAAACGTATTTTATAATTTAGAATCATTTACATTATTAAATTTACAACTTTACTTAACAGCGTGATATACATAATTAAAATATTTTCAATGATCCTGTTTAAAGAATCGAAATTAATTAAATCGTCGTATGATATATATACTTAACAGAAATTCAAGATTTTCATATATAAATTATTCAGAAATAAAGCTGAGTAATCGTATAGTATTTTTTTTTTATGATTTTAACCGTAACCATCAAAATTAACCGTTATCGAAATAATTTAATAGAAGATTAAATGAATTGGATGACGAAGACATTGTCTTTTTTAATAATATAATTCTATGTATACTTTTTCGGCTATTAGCGAAACCTTTTTAAATTTTTCAATTATAATTTATAACCGTATAATTTCAGTTCAATTACATAATATGTTAAAACGTTGCATGCTGTTCTAATCAGAACTGATTAAAACTTCTCATGTTTATTAAAATAATAATGTTTTCAATTATTTTGAAAAGAAACAAAGTGATGTAATTTACATTTTACAATTACTTTACAATAGTTTTATAATTTTATTAAAGACGAATTCCCCAAAAATCGTGATTAATATCATTGGAATTAATAGATTTGTAATCACTTACATGAAGATTACATGTTTATAGATACAGAAGATCAGAGGTCTTCTGTGTCTATAAACAATCATTTTTTATCCGTGTTTGATATAAAAAAATTATTACTATAAGTTATATAATATATAACATTTGGCATCAAATTAACTCAATTATTAAAATAAAAATAAAACAAACTAGTGCTCTAAATTTACGATTTCGATACTATCTTCAATATAAATAAATAGAAAATTACTAAAATTATTGACATAATAATTTCATAGGAGAAAGGATTTGTTCATCTTTTATCAAACCGTCGATTTTAATTTAATTTCATATTTTACGACATATAAAAATTACCAAGTTAGAAAAAAGACCGAGGGGGCACCCTGACATTTTCACTCTTTCAGATGAAGTAAATAATATAAATGAAGGATTATATAAATGAATATATAAATTAATAATAAGTAGGGTAGTTCACATGCTTTGGCAGATAACATTTGCAATGATAAAATATAAGAATATTTAACAACAACCCTGCTCTAGAAAGATTCAGATTAAGTAAAGGGATCGTATTAGTAATTAATTTTACTATAAAATGTTATATGTAAATATGATCTAAACATCCTAATTTCAAATCGGTACGTTCACTATTTACAAGTACTGTATTCAATTATGAAATAAATATGTCAATAATTAAATTTATTAGATTAATTTTTAAATTCGTTTTCATTATTTCCATTATCACGATTAATTAAAACTCTACCGGTGAATATATATCTATAATATTGGTAAATATTCCGACTATATATTTATTTATTCAGGTTAATTCACTATAAAATCTTAGTGAATTACTTTTTCTTATAAAGTAAACGTTAGTATTAAACATTATTGTTTACGCTAAATTTTAAGAAGTGGAAATCGCATTCAACGTAATCGTATCGAATTTTCGATCGCAAGCTTTAATATTTAAATAAGTTCATTAACAGTAAAAGATAAGTTCAATAAGGACCGACATATATATTGAAAAACTCGTTGAAGAACTATACTAGAAAAAAATAATAATAAAGTTTCAATAACTCTGTTGCAAAGCTCAAGCCACTAGTTATTAAATCAAAATAACTTTAATTAAATGAATTTGGAAATATTTTTGATGTTTCTATATACAGTATATATCATCGAGATTAAATGACTAGTTAAATCTCTTGGCTTGCTATATCTTGGCGATAATAAATTTTGATGGATGGGAACGGAGTTTGTTAATTTGAATTTATATTGAGATCGGTCAGTTTATGGATAGTGGGAAACCCAAATATGTGTAGTTCCATCACATTCTTAACTCTTAACCATTAGGAACGATTACGATTACAATGTGATGAAAATCGATCGTATGCGTGACATTATATATATGAATACCATGTAATGAAGACGATCGATTTTCATACTAAAAGAGAATTTTAAAATTTTATAGTTACATTCTAAACCACGAAAGAATTTTTTACAACATAAAAGTAATTAAGAAATGAAATTATAATATATACGTATATATGTTATTAAGTAGCTATATTTCAATGAATTCACAAACTCGGATTTTCATATTATTATAATCCACTTTTCACTAATTTCAAACTGAATTTCATTTCGTAAAATTTACATTTATCGAAATTTTACATATTTAAAATGCGTTACCATTATTTAAAGTTTAGATTTTTCTCAATTTTGTCGGTTTCTCTTACAAAGAGCGTTATTTCTCATGAATGTATTATTTTTCATTATCCATAATTAGCAGACATTTCTCAGTAATTTTTCCCACAAATTTAAATTGTAGACTATAGAGCTATGTCGAAAGAATCTTATTTGTGCTTAATCTATGTTCAGTTCTCTAATAATTCCAAGATCATCATCGGTAGAATAGCTACGTTAAAAAAAAATCCAACGAAACAAAATGAGAAAATATTTTCAAACAATATCTAGGCTATATCAAATACAGTAGTTATAAAATGAATAAGATTACATCTATAAAGGGGGACATTCATACGTACTATGGTAATAAATTAAGCCATATACGAGTACAGGTAATCATAAATAAACCAATTTTAATCTGTGTGACTGTGTTGGTATAATTCTATACACCAGTATAATAAGTCCTATTAAAAGAAATACACGGTTATGGTATTTGAAAGAACATATACGAGTATTTGAAAAATACTTTTAACGCAATTTTTATCTTTTGGTCGATTCAGATTAAAATATGAAATTTCCGTGTTATAAAGTGTTTAACAATGCATAAAATTCTGTTTCCGTGTATCATTCTGTTTAATACAGACAGCTACTTTATTTATTAACAGAATATATAGAATTTTGAATATATCTAAAATTTTGATCTTATATAGATTTTTACGAATTCGCTTAAATCAAATAAACAACAATAACTACAGCTTTAAACAATAGCATATATCAAAGTTTTGAATCAGTACGAAAGTTCAATCTTATTTATATTCAATACAAATAAGATACTTTTAATTACATTTATTTTTATATCAAAACGAAGCAAAATAATCATGTCTAATTCATATTCCAAATCTCAACAATCATTAGAAAAAAAAATAACGGAACTATAAATTCTATGTATTTAGGAATTGTTCTTTCAATGAATATCTTTATTCACTGAAACAACAATTCCTAAATACATAAATTCACTATATATATATATATTGTGAATGTTGGATCACATAATAGTTTATTCAATAAAATAGAAAATTTTACTCAGAAAAAAAATTATTCGAAACAAAAATGTTTAAATGAAAACATAAAAATAACTTTTTATATTCTATAATTATAACTAATACTCTTCTACTAAGGAGGCGTTTTCAACTTCAAAATTAAGATTTATATTGAATAGAAAATATTTATATTATAAAAAACGAAACAAATATAGACCTAGATTATAAAATATTTTTAAAATTCTACTGATAGGTATTATTCGTTATATTTACATATTTAACATATTTAATAAAGTATAATTCGCTTATTGATAGCCGTTTAGTTTCTTGTTTGTAATCCTTTATATATTTATTTTATTATTATTATTCCTAGTGTTGAATTCCATAGTTCTATTGATTTGAATAAAATCGATTTCCGTCCTTTGCTTATTCCCAGAAATACAAAATGTGCGATTTGAAAAATTATTAATTATAATATCAAATCATCCGGTGTATAACTAAAATAAGAAATATCAGTAGTTTAAAACACTATAATGCAAGCAAATGACAATTAGAACGATCAACATTAAAAGTACTTGTTAAAACTGATAACAATTGCGCATTATCAGCTACGTATTGGGATCGACAGAACAGAAAGACAGCTTAAAACTCCAGCAACACAAAATAGTTAACTTTTAAAATTAATTATAAAAAAGATAATTCCAAAAATAAAATATGGATACTATGAAGTACAGTAGGTACAGTACATTACAATAAACGATTGCAATATTGTTCATCGTGATCAAACCTAAGCTTACAAAGAGGAAAAAATATATCTGGCCGATGTAGTTGGAAACGGAAAATAGTCACACACCAACATATCAAAATGGAAAAGTTCGGCACCGAAACTGCATTGAATATACGAAAAAAGCATTGAACATAAAATATAAAGCAAACTGATGTTTTTGTTTTATAAATTGTATCAATGTTATTGAATTTTATAAAATTTAAAACCTTTTTTCATTTCCCATCGTGTTAAAGTTCGAAAATAGCCACCGTTCACGATTTTCCTCTTTTTGAGAACATAAAAAAATTATTCCGTGTACTATACGAATTGTATAAGTATATTGTATTAAATAAATTATAAAAATTTATAAGGTTAACTTACAGCAATTAAGAAAGTTTCATTTAATTGATAAAAATATTTTCACAACAAAAAATGAAAAGTAAAACTCACACTACGACAAATAAGTTCATATGTAGCTAATTCAACAAATGGCAAATAGTTGGGAAAGTACCGTAACCATTTACACGCTGAGAATAGAGCCGCAGTCTACCTGATGGCCAATTTTACCGGACTAAACATAAATATCTAGTTTTTCCAATGTTAGCCGGGAATGGTAGCCGTTATTGAATTTCCAAAACTGCATACTGCACACCGGGCATGAATGATGCCACAAACTAAAGTGGTTCGAGAACAAATTCCCATTAAAGAATATTCAATGTAAGTAATCATTTTCAAAATGGGATTCGAACTGCAATACGCAGAACACGAAGTGTAAACCTTGATAGATTTTTTAAGACAACTATTTCGAAATTATCGATTTTAATTTAAAATAACTAAATGTGAAAAGAATAAACTACCATGAATAATTAAATGTTTAAAAAAATCTATCAGACGAATATACATAAATTCGATCTATCGTATCATTTATGTGAGATTTCTTCAAACTCAAACAAACAAACACATAGAAACCTTAACCTTTAGTTTGCATATGTGTTTGCGTATAATATACAATTAAATACTTTAAATTCATAACTATAACAGCAATCTTAATTACTTAAACAGTGTACAAAAATCATCATAAATCAGAGAAAAAAACCAAAAAAATTAACCGTCATTGATATATTCAATAATTAACACAAAAGTCTCATTTACACAATTTTATTTTACTTCCTCCAAATGATCTCTTGAAGTTCCCACTATTATACCCTTTTATTTTTCAGCAAATTCAATTATTATTTTTTTATGAATTATTTTAACGCTAAAATAAATTTATGTATTCTTTCTAGGTTTTTATTTTTATTTATTTTCATCGAACAATTCGTTTTTCACTGCATAACAAATGATTCAAGTTTTCTTGTCATAAAAATGTCAATTTTAAAATATATTAGAACGGGAAAATGTTGTAACGACTTTATGCTGTATTTTTAAAAGCATACCATCAGTTCTGATAGGTTGATTTTATTAAGTTTTAAAAATTACAGATCCGCGTAACAGTGTTACGTAACGGAATATGTGGTATATTCATTTAATTTCAAAATTCCAAAGAAATTCTTCAAACAATTCTCGTAAACAACGGTATAACTACAAAAAAATTAAGGATTTAGATTAAAAATTTAATGGCATTTCAAATTTAACAATCAATTTACATTCATATAATAAATATTGTTTTGAATAAATTTAATTAATATATTATTTTAATAAATAAGTTTATAAACATTTGAAAATTGTATACACTATAAATTAAATTTTAAGCTGTCGTGTATCTAACTTATCAACTTATAATCTGAGTATCTGCAGTTTTTAATGACTGAATCTGAAATCCATGTTAGTGAAGGTTTGTTATATAATTATATGTTTTGGTAAATGGAGCACAAAATTCTTTTGTTAATACGCAGAAAATATTAACGTAATTCTATATGATTGCGTGATTCTAAATAAAATTACTAACACACAATTTACACTTAAAACTACAAAACGATTAATTTTACAAATAAAAGATTAGTAAAAAAAGCACAATTTTTAAATCAGAATGTTTTGAAATATTAATATAATACATAATAGAACGTATTTAAAACATTTTTGATTATTGTAATTAAAATTTAGTCACTAATTAAAATACAAAAACTTTATCACAAGAAATACTAACACACAATAATCCGTCTTATTTTCATTTTTTCTAGTTTTTTTTAAATATTTTACTTAAAAAATATGTTATCTTCAACGGCTTATTTTTATCTTAAATATTTTAATGTATAAGATAAAATACTAAGATAAAATTTGCTATTTAAAATCAAAAGCAATTCGTTCTTTACAATTAATTTGTATAAATTGATTTAAGCTTTAAATAAAATTTTTCAATTATAAAAATATTTACTTATTATTTTAAACAAGATGTTGTAAAATTTTAACTTGTATATCAGCAACAGTTTTAATTTTGCTTTTTTTCCTCCACTATTTATATTTGTTAGCAATAAAATTCTGTATTTTTTTAAGCAGAATATTATTTGTTATCTAAAATTTGTTTGTTTAAATCAGTTGTTATTATTTTTTATTAATGTAAAAATTGTTAAATAATTAAATACCAAAGAAAATTTATGTTTAAACATTTATGATTTATAATTCATAATTATTACGCTTTTATTTAAAACATTCAATGTGTTATAATTTTAATTTTAATGCTTTAAAAATGATTTTAAAGTTAAGTAAATAATATATAATTTTAAAATGTCATAAAAGTTTTTAAAGTTTTAATACAGAATAGTCTTATATTAAATCATTTTATAAACATTATAATTAATAAATTCTTTTCTATTCACAGTTAATATAAAAGCTAGCATGCATTAAAAAAAATTAATATAGGCCTATATCCTTAATTGCCGTTTACCACTTTTTGTAAATGTAAAGAATGGACGTTGCTAATAATATTTGAGTAGTGAAAAATAATTGATTTTGGGAGCATTAAATAGTAATAATTTTTATGAGTGACGATGAATCAAAATTAGCTTCATCTGTTTGAAGGGTGTAACTAACTTTGTAATTCCATTAGGTCTGTATCATTCTCTTCATTTATGTCTTTTCTGTGAATCAATTCCAATTTGCCGAAGACAGAAAGGGCTGCTGTCCATATCAGTTGTAAAAGCCACTAACTATGCTGATGGGACCGTCTAAATCAATGAGTTTACAACATATGAGAAACATAATTTCTCTTAGCAAATGCAAGATTTCTCATTGAAAAAAATAAAATAAAATTTAACATTTATACGGTTACACAGGGTTAACGTTAAATAAAAATCGAGGAAGTGATTTGTGCAGTTGATTAAATCTTAGCATTTGTTACACATAAAAATAGTAATAAATTAATCCGTGTACATAATGCAAAAATCGATACTTTCTCGAACTTTTAGGACCAAATGGCTAGAAAAGTAATCAAAATAATGAAATTTTATACGTCAATGTTAATATAAAGTAACCATTGTATTTATTATGCCTATATTTGTAAGAGGTAACGTCAAAATTAAAAGTTCCTTATGTTAAAAACTTCACAAAAAATAAATATTTTCCTCAATAATCGTTATTTGATAAAAAAAAATTCGAAGCTTAAATCCATCTAAGTATAGTGATTTTTCTATTTAATTCATACTGTAGAATATACTATTTAATTCATACTGTACAATATACAATATTTAAGATTAACTCTCAAATTAAGGCAAAGAAAACTCATTTAGAATTTTAAAATTTCCTGAATTACTATAAAATTTTATTAAAATTAATGGAATTTGTTCCACGTCAATCATGGACTACATAAAATAGACATTTTGTGAGCGCTAATACACGATATATTCATTTTTATACTCAAAACACAAATTCTAAGAATGTTCTACATCATTATGCTAGCCACATATTTATGAGTCATTAGCTATATAATTGTCGTTATAACAGCAACGGAAATTCTATTATATTCGTGTTTTATACTTTCTGATTATGCTTCCTCTCTGCTTTTATATTCCCCGGTCTAAGTTGCCTTAGACGACTCGTCGAACGTCGTAAAGAAGTAAGTCGACCAATCAAATCAGATTGAAATAAAAACACCATAACAATCAAACAAGACTTTTCCAGCATCAGTTATATAACAACTTCCCTTTCAAAACTTGCATCTGATTTATTATATTTATTAACTATAATATTTTTTTATTATTATTTTATCATCGTTTATAAAGATTTCATTCAATAACTAATTTAAGTAAATATCTTCATCGCGTATAAACATCACAAAATCTGATGTGAATCATTTTGTAGAAAGTTTAAATTAAAATTCTAGCCATTGTATGAACAAGATAAAACTTCAACCTATTAATAACTTTGTAGATAAAGATAAAAATAAATAAAATAAAAAATGTATTATTTCACATTCCAATTATTCGGCCACTTTTTTAAAACCGACAACATAAGGACCGTAAGAAAAATTTTGACGTAACTGCCTTACGAAATTCAAAAAATGCAATTTTGTTTGTGATTTTTCTATTTTAAATATATATAATAAAAAAAACAAATATATATATCGGATATCTGCAAAAATTGTTTAAAATTGGTTACGCGAATATAAAAAAAATTTCAAATTCCGAAAGTAATTTGAATAGATCTGGAATCCATCAACGGAAGTGGAACGTAGCTGACGTCCAGAGTTGAGTAAAACTCAACTCAAGTTAGACAAACAAATATCGTTCAGGAGTCATCCGATTGGTATTTTATAACTCATGGAGATTTCTGTTTTCGTATAAAAATCAGTTTGTTTTAGTCGATTGCAAACCTTAATAAATTTCAGTACAATTTAACGTACCGATCCAGTTAAACGACAGTTTCGCAACAGGAAATCAGACGATAAATTTCCTTTTCAACTTCCGACCAAATGTACTTTACATCGAAATTTCTTAAAGTCTTTTGGATTACATTAAAGAGGCTAAAGAAAAGAAAGAAAGAAGAAAAGTACAGTCAACAATACCTGTGGTATTACTATTTACAGTGTAAAATTTCCTTATTTTAACTTTTTTCCGAAGAATTTTAAATATCGAAGTTGTAATTCAACATGACAAGACTTCAAATAAATTTACTTTTAAATATCCGTAAGCAATTTCCATTTATAAATGTTATTTAAAACTTGATTCTATTTAGAGAATATGTCTTACAATGTAAGCTATTTGAAGTAATTCCATCCATTCATTTGTCACAGACATTTTCTAAAAAAGAGAAATCTTTCGATAAAAAGAACTTTAATTGAAGTTACTAGGTTTAATTTTAAATGAATTAAACTTAATCCAGTTTCAATTGAAGCATTAGTTTAGACAAAGAACGCGAAGACAAAACGTAAAGTAAATGATTTTACTACAAAAACGGATTAATGCAGCAAATGCATTTGGAGCTGTCAACCTGTTTTCATCTAGTTCTTAAGTATTTATATATTTCATACTACTTATACGAAGAAATAAAATGCGTCCTCTTAATTCACGTGTTAGTAGCTCTGTCAATTTTAATTCTTTATGTCTTTAATTAATAGTAAATGAAAAGTAGCGTGTAAATATATAGAACAGTCAGTCTGTAGCTAAATTAAATTATACTAAATATGAAATAAACATAAATATTGTTTTAAAATGTAATAGAATAAACTATGATAAAATGTACTTTATTTAATATTTTTATTGTGTTAAATTATATTCTATATCAGTTGTTCCTACATGGCAACGCGAAACAACTTTTGTGGGAGAGTGAGACACTATATAAAAACTTGTTTAAATATATTTATAATATATATAATGTATATTATCTAATTAAGGACAGAAATTTTATGATGAAACATTTCTTGACAAATTGTCTTTCTTTACCTTATTTCAATTCTAAAAGTAATTATGAATTTTACATCAAAGTTTTGTGGCAGCACAATTTTTGAGTGTTTTTTTGGTAAGATCATTTTTCATAGAAAAACTGTATTTAAAGTTAGGATGGAATATATGTAAGAAATTAGGATAACCCTTGGAAAAAAACATTATAAAATGCCAGAGCACATTTTAAACATTGAAGAGGTTTCAGTATGGAAAAAGTTTTGCTCTGAACGGATATTTTAATACAGTGAGTTTCAGATTTTCTAAATTAAAATCTTTTCTTTACCGCTAAATGTTCCTACATCTTCCTTTCTTTTAACTTCATTTTTATATTATTAATCATAATTAAGAGATCGCATTACTTTGTTCAGGTTGGTAGTTCAAATTGCAAATTACACATAAAACGCGAATATCAATATGATTTTCCGACAACCGAGAAACACTTCGGTTTTTTTTTTTAAATATATTAATAATTACTATAATTTTATAAGGATTTTTCTACTTATATTATCTTTATAAAAATACAAATAATCGAAAAATATACCATTCAATATTACTAAGATGAAATTAAAGACAGAGAGAAATTCACATAGAAGTACAGCGAAATTAACTGTACAGTACTGCTATTTATCGTAATTAATGTCTATATCAACAATAAGAAAAATACATTTCAAACAACAAGATTATACTTTTGCAAAAACAAGAGAT